ACCTAGATTTTAGAGAATAAAGGGCGTACTTAATTAAATAACTAGGCTTATTAGATTATTAGGTAATTATATCTAACCTAGGTCGTCTTTAGAAGGTAGCTAGATAGCTAATAAGGCTAGGTATCTTAAGATAGTACTACCTTATAGTCTAGGCCTTAGCTAACTAATTAAATATAAGAAGAATATAAGGAATACTTAAAGTAACCTAAGGTTTAACTAATACTAACATTTATTAACTAAGATAAGACTTAAATAAAATAGCTATACTACTAAAATATACTTAGGCTATAACTAATATAAAAAAGCTATATAATTCTAACTAGAATCTATAACACTACTTACTTAAGTAAGTATACCTAAGCTATACCTAAGATTATATATAACTAAAAAGAAAAAGAAATAATAAAAAGAAAGAAAAAAATAAAGTAAGAAGACATTACTTTAAGACAAAACTAGAACTAAGAAAAAGAAAAACCCTTTTTAATTAAAGAAGGACTAGAGCTAATTATAAGTAGTAGTATTATTAATAAGTATATAATTCTATTACTTATTAGCTATATTTATAAAAAGAATAAAGAGACCTTATAATAAAGTAAAGAGTCTAGATTATTATTACTATACTAGCGTTAAGCTAGTCTAACTAACTAGTAATCTTATAAGTAGTGTTATCTAAGAAGTAGTAGTAGGTTTAGCCTAGGCCTACTATCTTATAAATAAGGTACTAAGAACTTTTATATAAATTCTACTACTTATTAAAAGTAGTAAGAAGAAAAACAAAAGAGCTGTCTACTATACAAGGTAAAAGGTAGGTAAAAGTAATCTTTTAAGCTAAGAGAATAAAAAAGCTAAGGTAAGTAGTAATAATAAAGTAAGTATACTTTACTACTTTTCTTACTTAAAAAAGGTGTTTAAGAAGAATCTAGCTAAGGGGTTAGTAAGGGCTAAGAGAAAAAGGGCTAAGGGAATTATACTTTATTATAAGAGAAACGCTACTAAGTATAATAATTATAGACGTTATCTTTTAACGTCTTCTTATATTAGTATATAAGGTTTAAAAATAGTATTTTAATATAGTAAAGATAGTAACCTTAAGAAAGTAACTACTTTATACTAATAGGCTCTTACTACTATATATATAGTAGGCGTACTACTAACTTTAAGTAAAGGTTAGTAAGGGATAGTACTAATATAAGATAGTATATATACTACTTTATAATATAAGTCTACTCTAGTAACTAACTAATAAGGTAGCGACACTTCTTATAGTACTACCTTTTCTTTAGTTAGTTATAATAAGCCCTTTTCCTTTTCTTTTCTTATCCTTATCTTTATCTTCTTTTCTTTTTTTTTTTCTCTCTTTACTAGCCTTACTAACTCTCTCTTTTCTTTCTCTTTTCTTATCCTCTTTAGTATCCTCTTTCTTAGACCTTTTAGCGCCCTTTTCTTAAGCTTAGACTAGTATATCTCTTACTAACTTATTAAAATAGTCTAGGTTATTATTATTATTAATATTATCCTTATCTTTATCTCTTTTTTTATTTTTATCTTTATCTTTACCCTTATCTTTCTTTTCTTTCTCTTCTTTTACTTTATGTACTATAGCTACTACTTCTTACTTAAGAAAGGTAGTATACTTTATGTAGACAGACTAGATAAAGGAAATTAATAAAGAGGTATCTTAGAGAAGTAGTAGAGCCTTAGTTTTATAAGTATATATACTCTTAGCTAAGCCCTTTTTCTTTTTCTCTCTTTACTTTACCTCTGTCTCTATCTTAGTTATTACTATTATTATCGTCTATACTACTGTCTTTATTATTATTATCGTCTTTAGCTTTAACTTTAGCTAGGCTACTACCTTTTCTAGTACTACTTCTAATCTCGGCTTAGCTAGTGTTCTCTTCTTCTTCTTTCTTTACTTAGTAAGGGTAGAGAGTAAAGAAAGATATAGGTTAGTTATAAATATAGGCCGCTTAGTAGGCTTTAGCTACGTAAGGTAAGAGCGTTAGTCTATAAGTAAGTAATAAGGGGTACTAATAATAAGGAATATATAAACCTTTAATAAAGTATCTAGACTAATCTAAGTAAAACCTTCTTCTAGCTCTCTAAAGGTAGATCTATAAGTACTAAACATTATAAGAAGGCTAGGTAAAAACACTTTAGACCTACCTTAAGAAAGAGTAAAAAGGTTATTATTATTAACATTATTATTATTATTAAATCTACTTAAGACATAAGCGTTAGATCGTATAAAGATAGACTAATTATCTACTAAATTGTTATATATCTTTACTATAAAAGAACTAGCCTAAAGAGGCTTACTAGTATAGATATACTTACTAGTAGACTAGTAAAGTAAAGAAGAGTAGTTATGTCCTTACTTTTATAAGGTTATAGTAAAGGTAGTATAAAGTATCTTAAAGAAAAAGATAATTAAAAGATATTAAAGTTATTTTAAGATTTTAGTTTTAGAAAAGAGAGTTTAAGAGTAGATAAAGAAAAGGAAAAGGTTATAAGTAAATTAGTAAAGAAAAAGGTAGAGAAGTAAGATGTTTATATAAAATATAATAAAGACCCTTTACTAGTAAGTAACTAAACAAGTAACAAGAACTAAACTAGATTTAGTATAGAATAATAATTAAGATAATAATTAGGATAGCCTTAGGCCTATATTAAGATAAGCCTATATAACGTCTTAGCTAGTAAATAAAGGCTATACCTAATACGCGTATAAAACTAGTACCTAAAGTAGTTATAAAAGTAATTTATAATATAAAGAGAGAAGAAGGCTTATAAGATTAGAATTTTTTATCTTAAGAGTTAAAAGAATAGTATATAGACAAATAAAGAGTAACCCTTAAGTAAGAACTAAGGTAACTATAAGTAGTTATTATTTTCTTATTTCTAATCTAAGAACAAAGTAGAGTACTAAGAGTAGTCTAGCGTACATAAGGCGTACTATATCTATAGCGATATCTATAGGCTTATATAAAAGAGATAAAGACATAATAAAAGGACTAGTAATATAATAGTGTCTTAGTAAGAGGGTTTTATTTTCTTTCTTTCTTATAGAACTATATATATACTAAAACTTAGATTAAACTCTTATAGTACCTAGTATAGGTATTTAATAAAGAAAGATGTTACTACTATAGTATATAGTATAAGGGTCTAGTACTACCCCTCTAGATAGTAAGCTAAGGAGATCGTAAAGGACCTTGTTATAAAGTAGTTATAGTACCTTTATATTGTTATAAAGGCGTACTAAGTAACTCTTGTCTAGTTCTTTAAGTCTAAAATAGCTACGCCTCTACTTAACCTTTACTTTAATAAGTAAGTAGTAGACTTTAAATAACGTCTTAAATGTATAAGTAAAGGTAAACTTATATAGTCTATTTATAATAAGGTAGTAACCTGTCTTTAATAACGCTAGAGACGCTACTATAGCGCTACTATAGCGCTACCTTATACGTTACTTAAGTATAAGACAGGCTAAGCCGTATAAGTAAAGGACTAGTATAAGGACTCTTTTTTAAAAGAGACCTTATAAGAGAACTAGAAGGTATAGTAGTCTTAACACAATAGCTTACTAGTATACTACTAAGGCGCTACCCTAGCCGCGCTACTTATACCTTTAGTAGATACCCTTAAGAAGTACCTACTCTTTTATAAGTATAAGAGCTCTCTTTTAATACAAATCTATACTAGTAAAGTTAGACTCTAGGCTTTTCTTTTTAAGTATAGAGTACTAGAGGTAGTAACTCCTTAGTACCCTTATAGTAAGGCCCTAAAGACAGCGGCTTACCTAGTCCTTAACTACTAGTAGCTAGATTAATAGTAGTAGGCCTTATAATAAGCGCTCTACTTAAGAGTACTATAGACGTTCTATAACTTTATAGTAGTAATAAAGAAAGGTAAGAGCGCGTGTATACTAATCTATTAGCTACTATCTACTAGCCGATTCCTATAGTTCTGTCTAGCTAAGCGCTACCTAGTAAAGGAGTTATAAGAGAGAGAGTAGCCCTAGCTAGTAGCCGGCGCCTTACTAGCGCCTTACTAGCGTCTTATTAGTATGTTTAGTATTACTAGGCTAGAAAGTTAAGTTCTAGTAAGGTAGCGATAAGGACCTAGCGCCTTAGTAGTGCCGTAATAGTATAAACGTAAGTAGTAGTACATAGGTTTTTACCTGGCTTTAGTACGGTTTTATTACGTGATTTATATAGTATAAAGGTTCTGTATATAGTAGGTATAAGTAGTAAGAGTAATAATAATAGTAACGTTAACGTTACTATTACTTAGCTATTACTCTTACTAGCCTAACTCTAAGTAGAGTTCTTTACTAGTATAAGAGTATTTAATTTACGACTTAAAACTCTAGTAATAAAAGCGTAAGGTCCTTAAGACTTATAATCGCCTTAGTCTACTAGCTAGCGTAAGTCTAGCCTTTTATACTAAAGCGATTCTACTAAGATAGTATACGTTAAGGAGGTCGCTAGACCTTTAAAAAGAATAAAAGAAATTAAAGAAATAAAAGGAATTAAAAGAATAAAAGGAATAGAAACTTTATTTTAAACAAGCCTTATAGTAAGACTAATAGCTTTTAAGGTAACTACGTTTACCTAGAATTTATTAAGGAAAGTTACTAAGAGAGCTTGTTACGCCTCTAATTACTTATTAAGATCTTATAAGTTAGGTCGTTATAATAACTTATTAGTAAGGTTTTAGTTACTTTCTTTATATTTAATCTTAAAGTTAAAGACAGAAAGTTCTTCTAGCTATCTAGCTTACTACTATAATAACTTCGGCTTTATAAAGAAGTAATAGTAGTTTAGGTAGTCTATTAAAACTAATACTAAACTTTATACATATATTAAGTACGGCCTTTATAACCTAAAAGCCTTAATAATAGCTATTAACTTAGCGTTAAGAGTATTATAGTATAGCTCTAGCCCTTTTAGCTTTTTAGAAATAAATGTAATAAGGTACTAGCGGCCTTCTTATAGCTATAAAAAGACAGTACTAATAGTATAGGTAGATATATCTGTTTTTATATACGTAAGTAGTTTAAGGTTATAGTAACGTAAGACAGAGGCCTTTACAAAGACTAGTCGTAACTTATAAAAGGCTTTTAGGGCTTTAGAACTTAGTGTAACAGTACTAGTAGCGTCGCTATAAAAGAGATTCGTTAGTAGTATAGTAATCTTTAAATAATTCTTAATAAAGTACTTATAAAACCTAGTAAACCTTAAGAAGATACAAATGTCCTTTATAGTTATAAGAATAAGCTATTCTTAGATTATAGAGACACGCTTAGGTTTAGTACAAACTCTTTATAAGTTAATAATGTATTCTAGAAAACCTACTTACTTTATATTAAACTTATACTTTAAGAGGTTAGTATAAAGGTTATATTATTAGAGACGTTTAAGGACGTAGTAAATATACTATATATACTCTTCTTTATTTATAAAGTAAATAAGGATATTATTAAGATATACAATATAAATATTATTAACAAGATTCTCTAGTACTTTATTAATAAAGGACTAGAAGGTCGCTAGTACGTTTACTAGCCTAAAAGGCATAACGTAGTATTTAAAGTAGCTATATTAATACTAAAAAGTCGTTTTCTACTTATTACCGGCCTTAATACAAACTTAATAGTATACTTTACGTAGGTTAAGCTTAGTATAGACATGTACTTATAATAGCTAATTAAGGATCTCTCTAATTAATAGAATAAGGGCTTAGTTCTTTTTAGTTACACTATTTAACGCCTAGTAGTTAACGTAGAGTCGTAGCTTCCTTTCTTTCTTTAGAACAAATAGTATTAGAGTACTAGTAGGGCTCTTACTTAGACAGATCTATTCTTTTACTAGAGCGTCGTCTAAATATTTGTGTAGGACACTTAGCTTAACCTCTACAAGTAGGTAGATTTAGCTATATAGTAGTACCGCGTCTCTTTTAAGGTCTATTATATAAGTAAGGCTATTAATTATAAGTAGTAATCTAGCCCCTTCTTTAGAAAAGACGTCTGTAAATTATTAGTACTTACTAGGTAAGGTCGTTATAGCCTTACTATCTTCTTATAGTTCCTCTTATAGTTCTTCTTTACCTAGGGATTCTAGGTTAACTATAATTAGTTATACTATTACTATAATTACAAATTAAGCTTCTTTTATTACTTTCTTAATTTCTTTCTTTATTATATATAGCTAGACTATTAAAGACGACGTAAGATATATAAACGTCTAGGTCTTTTATAAAACGATTAGGTCTATAGCCTCTAGCTATAGAAATCTAAGTATAATATCTAAGTCTCTAATGTTAGTAATAACAAATTTATCTTAATGTTGCCTTATTATTAAGTAGTTACTTATCTTAGGCCTTAACAAACAGATTATATAATCTAAAGCTTATTATTATTTTCTAGAATAGTAAGGATACTATAATATAATTGTTAAGTTACTATAGTACCTCTTATTCTAATAGTTATAGATAGATAAGGTTAACTTTTACTTTTAAGTCTAGTAAGGCCAGTATAGCTACTTAGCTACCTCTAATACGTATCTCTACCTAAATACTTATTAAGGGTTACTTCTCTTCTTATTGTTTAGGCGTAACGTAGTAGGCTACTAGTGTAGTATTAGCTCCTAAAGTACTAGCCTTATTAGGGTACTAAGTATAAGTATACCTAGATTAGCTATATATAAAATACTTATATAATAAGTACGAATTTGCCTAATAACTAGGTTACTAACATTAGTAGTAGTTACCTTATACCTTACTTATAGAAGGGGTTTTTATAGCGCTAAGAGAGTCTCTTTACGTGTTTAAAGTTTAGCTACTAAAAGCCTCTTACGTGTTTACTAGTATAGATAAGGTCTTTAGATTATAAGAAGAGCCTCTCTTAGTATAGTATAGTGTTAAAAGGGCTCTATAAGAGCCTTCTTATTACCTTATCTAAATAAGAGTTTCCCTTCTTAACGCTACTACCTTAACTACCTTAAAGGTATCTAAGACCCTACTACTTACTATATAAGCCCTTAACTTAGGCTTTAAACAATTAATAAAGAGATAGATATAAAACATCTCTAAAAGGGCGTAGCCGAGTTTAATAACTAAAGAGTTATACTATTAAAAGAAATTCTTAAAGCTTTTGTTTTAGTTTTAAGTTAATATTTAAAGTTTTAATACTACTTTAAGAGAGTAAGTACCCTTATCTATAATACTATAAAGGAGCTACGCCTTTATTTCTCTCTAAGTTACATTAAGAACTAATCCGCCCTTTTCTAAGAAGATAAAAGACTTTTAGTACTCTTTAATATAATCCTTTAGTACTACTACTATAGTACTAACGCGTTTAGTATCTGTTAGATAACTTTCTAGATAGGTATTAAACTCTGTTTTCTAGTTAAATAAGAAGGTCGTAATACTAGTATATATCTTGTTTTTTAGTAAAATAAAAGAGGTATTATAATAACTCTTCTTTATTTCTTTAATATAGGTTTATTAGAAAGGCTGTTCTACTTTAAGAGGGTTATTAAATTCGTATAGGTTAATTAAGAGAGCCTCTTCTCTCTTAAGTACTATAAGGTAGTCTTACTTTTACTTAAGGCGCTACTCTACCCTTACTTAAGTGATCCTCTTATTTAACTTAGTCTTACTTAAGGAAAGGATTTCTATTAACATTTAGAGAGTTACACTAGGTTTACTACTACCTACTTATAAAGAGGTATTAAAAAGAGTTACTTAAGAAGAGGCCTATGTCTTGTTAAGGTTTATTTGTTGTGTCTACGTTATCCCTTCTTACTTTAACGGTCTATAACCTTTTAGTAAAGGAAAGAGATTAGAATGTTAGGTATATTTCTATAGAGTAGAAGAGGCAAGAGTCGTGTTAGATTATAAGGTTATAATAGAACGCTGTATTACTAGATCAACGCGTAACAGGTAAGTGTAACACGTAACAAGTAAAAAGAGGCGCGTAAGAGGTGTAGTATAGCTGTTAGGCCAACGAGTACTAAATCAAATTAAATTAAATTAAATTCTAACAACAAACTTAACGACTTAAAGTGTTTTCTAGAGTCCTTATATACATGATTTAAGTTTTCTAGAATACTCTATACTATTCTATAAGCCTTATAGTCGTAATAGGCTACTAGACTTAATTAGGCATAGTATAGAATATTCTAGTACATGAATTCGTAAGTAAAGACACTAAAATCACTTAATACTCGACTAAAATCACATAATATAATTAAATACAACACTAAAATCACGTAATTACAACTACTAACTAAAGCTACGTAATACGCCACGTAATACGCTACGTAATACGTAATACGCCACGTAATACGCTATACTACAGGTTTAGCCTAGGCCTGCCATCTTATAAATAAGGTACTAAGAACTTTTGTACAAATTCCGCTACTTGTTAAAAGTAGTAAAAAGGAAAACAAAAGAGCTGTCTACTATATAAAGTAGAAGGCAGGTAGAAGTAATCTTCTAAGCTAAGAGAACAAAGAAGCTAGGGTAAGTAGTAATAATAGAGTAAGTATACTTTACTACCTCTCTTACCTAAGAGAGGTATTTAAGAAGAATCTAGCTAAGGGGTTAGTAAGGGCTAAGAGAGAAAAGAAGCTAAGGGAATTATACTTTATTATAAGAGAAACGTTACTAAGTATAATAATTATAGACGTTATCTTCTAACGCCTTCTTATATTAGTATATAAGGTTTAAAAATAGTATTTTAATATAATAAAGACAGTAACCCTAAAAGAGTAACTACTCTATACTAACAGGCTCTTGCCGCTATATACGTAGTAGGCGTACTACTAACCTTAGGCAAAGGTTAGTAAGGGATAGTACTAATACAAGATAGTATATATACTACTTTATAATATAGGTCTACTTTAACGACTAACTAATAAGGTAGTAACGCCCTTTATAGCGCTATCTTCTCCTTAGTTAGTTATAGTAGGCCCTTCTCCCTCTCTTTTCTTATCTTTATCCTTATCTTCTCTTCTTTTCTTTTCTCTTTTCTTACTAGCCTTACTAACTCTCTCTTTTCTCTCTTCTCTCTTATCTTCTTTAGTATCCTCTCCCTTAGACTCTTTAGTACCCTTTCTTTAGGCTTAGACTAGTACATCTCTTACTAACTTATTAAAATAGTCTAGGTTATTATTATTATTAATATTATCCTTGTCTTTATCTCTTCTTATATCTTTATCTCTATCCTTACCCTTATCTTCCTTTTCTTTCTCTTTCTTTACCTTACGCGCTATAGCTACTACTTCTTACTTAAGGAAGGTAGTACGCTTTATATAGATAGACTAGATAAGGGAAATTAATAAGAAGGTATCCTAAGAAGGTAGTAGAGCCTTAGTTTTATAAGTATATATACTCTTAGCTAGGCCTTTCTTTTTCTTCTCTCTTTACTTTATCTCTATCTCTATCCTAGTTATTACTATTGTCGTTATCTATACTACTATCTTTATCGTTATTGTCGTTGTCTTTAGCTTTAGCTTTAGCTTTAACTTTAGCTAGGCTACTACCTTCTCTAGTACTACTCTTAATCCTAGCTTAGCTAGTGTTCTTTTCTTTCTTTTTCCTTACTTAATAAGAGTAGAGAGTAAAGAGAGACGTAGGTTAGCCGTAGACATAGGCCGCTTAGTAGGCTTTAGCTACGTAAGGTAAGAGCGTTAGTCTATAGGTAAGTAATAAGAGGTACTAATAATAAGGAATATATAAACCTTTAATAGAGTATCTAAACTAATCTAAGTAAAACCTTCTTTTAGCTCTCTAAAGGTAGATCTATAAGTACTAAACATTATAAGAAGGCCGGGTAAAAACATCTTAGACCTACCTTAAGAAAGAGTAAAAAGGTTATTATTATTAACATTATTATTATTATTAAATCTACCTAAGATATAAGCGTTAGATCGTATAAGGATAAACTAATTATTAGCTAAATCGTTATATATCTTTACTATAAAAGAACTAGCCTAAGAAGGCTTACTAGTATAGACACGCTTACTAGTAGACTAGTAAAGTAAAAAGGAGTAGTCGCGTCCTTACTTCTATAAGGTTATAGTAAAGGTAGTGTAAGGCATCTTAAAAAAAAAGACGATTAAGAGATATTAAAGTTACTTTAAGATTTTGGTTTTAGAAAAGGGAGTTTAAGAGTAGATAGAGAAGAAGAAAAGGTTATAAGTAAATTAGTAAAGAAAAAGACAGAAAAGTAAGATGTTTATATAAAACATAATAA